CACTAAATCTATGGCACCCCCTTGTTTTTTTGTCTCCCGGACAAAGCGTTCTGAGGCCCGGGTTTTATCAATTTTAAACCCCGGTAAAAAAGGGGGGGAAATTTCCTGTGGTTAGCCCTTTTTTGTTCAGGAACTTCTCTGGGGAACCTTTTCCCCTAGAGTTAGAACACGGTTCCCCCCAAACTTCAAGGGGTTTCATTTTGGGCCCTTGGGGGAAGCCCGTGAATCTTAACTTGGGTGTTTCTTCCAACCCCCTGGACCCAAAACTCTGCTCCCAAATTTTTTCAAATCCGTCCCGTACGACAGACTGTTGTTGACCTTCCCTTTGGTGAGTGTGGGAAGTACTTTTGGGGAGCTTTTTCCAGGGAAAGGGGCACCCCAAAAACAGGGCAATTTTTTGGGTTCCCTTCCCCCCGTCAAAAAATTTGCCTTGAATAACTGCCCGAAATTTTCTTGAATGCCCGAAAATTACTTTTTCCCGTCATAAAAGATGCTTTTGGGGAAAATTTCCCAGGGTTTCCTTTTGACCCCTTTGGTGCTGCAAAGTGGTGGTCTTCTCATGTCAATTTTGGGTGAAGAGGGCAAAAAAACTCTGGACCCCCTTTTTTAATCTTCAAAACTTCAAAGGTTTATCAGGATTCCTTCAATGGGATTTGTTTGTTTGTAGAAACTTTGTTTTTAAATTTTCTTTTTTTGAGACAGGCATTTTTTAAAAATTTTTCTTCTTTTCAAACTGGGTCCGGGGCCCGGGTTTCTTTTACCTAAAACTGGCTTTTTGGAAATTTTACCCCTTTTTTTCATTTTGCTTTTTCCCCTTTTTGAGCCATCTGAAACCACTACCCCTTTTGGAAGGGGGTGCAACTTTTTTTACTTTTGTTCCCTTTCCTCCTTTTCCCCTTTATCTAATTTACTCAGGAAAACTGTCGGGTTTAAAAACTCTTGGATCCCAAAATAAATTGGGTCCCCCGAAGGGTTTTTTTCCTCCCGACTCAATTTCTGGATTTTCCCAAAGTCCCTGCCCCATCAAGGGGCCCCCTCTTGTCATTCCGTGCCAAAAGGGCCCCCCTCTTACGTCCCCGGGGTTAAATTACCTAAAATTCATATCTTAGTGGCCCTTTCGAAATTCTCAGCCCAAAAAGTTAAATTTTCCAAAGGGGTGGCCCAATTTGGGAATCGCTTAAAAAAAGCATAATTTATTTTTTTACTTTGTGATACCATTCTTGGTTCAGAACAAAAACTAAAACACGACCAAAACCTCTTGTTTTGGGCTTTCTCCCCCCTTACACTATGATTAATTAAAAATTTTTAAAAAAGTGTCACAAAGACTTTTTTGAAAAAGTTTACCCCGGTTTTTAAAATCTGTACAACAGATGTTCTTTTCCAGCAAATATTTGTCTAGTTTTCGTATAACGAATCCTATTACAAAGATCACAAAATAATAACTTCGGTTTGATAATCGGGCCAGCAGCAATATCCCAATGTGTATAAAAGATTTTATCGCAACAAAAATATGTACAACACACTTAAGTTACACCTTCTGGTTTAATTCGTAAAACAATTTAAACCTTGTTTAATTTTGTACAACAAAATCAAACAAAATCTTATATTCAAACATGTAAAATAGAACTCCCGTAACAAAAATGTATACAACACACTTGAGTTACACCATACGGTCTACTTTGTAAAACAATTTAGACCCCGTTTAATTTCGTAAAACAAAATCAAACGAAATTCTATATCCAATACGTATAAACAATATAATTTTATTACTCTAACCGAAATATGTATAACACACTTGGGTCATCTCTTACGGTTTAATTTGTAAAACAATTTAAACCTGGTTTAATTTTGTATTACAAATATTAAACCAAATTGAAATATATCAATACTGCACTAAACCAACACATACACCAACCGGACCCTGGTGCCACATACACACAGACACTACATAATCCCAGGTATTAACTTAACCAAGCCGGCAACTTGTAAGGTTACAATCAATTTAAATATGGGAGTCAGATGGTACACAGGCCAGAACTTAAATTGATATAGCAAATACAATATTAACAATCCAATATACAATTAATCAATCCATGAACTAAAGCTCAGAACTTTTGAATTAAAATTAAATAAAAATTAAATTTTTTCCATGAAACAATTTTAGAAAAATAAAATCTACTTCAAATAATTATTTAATCAAATCCAAACTAAATATTAGTACAGCACAGCTATCAAATCATTGCTACAATACCTTACCGGAAAGAAAAAAAAAAGAAAAATGAGCTTTAATCCATGGTCATAAAATAATTAAGTCCACGCGATTGAAATACCACGCGAAAAAATACAAATATCCTAAATAATTAACCAAACAGGCCAGGGAATTACCACACTATTGTTTTGTCTCTTGATTAATCTGCTAAAAGCTTCCTAATCTGTAAAAAACAACAAAAAATTACGTTTCCGGTTTCAAAATCACCGCTTGCAGGAAATATTGCCAATCACAACGTTCCGCGCATGCGCTACGCACCGTAAATTACCGGAAACTTACGAAGTTCGCCGATTTACCAGAATTACAAATTCAGAGTCCCGAATCAATTTCCACTCCTAAACGCGATCTCACGAAACTCAAAATTACAGCCGAGGACCTTAACACACGAAAACTTAAATAAATTTTATCCGCCAAATTGTCTCAAAAGCTGCAGAAAGCCAACAGCGAGAACCCGCAATGTGACGTCACATGCGCCGCACGCCCGACCGATTCGCTGTCAAAAAAAACCAATCTGCCCGATCCCAATTGAAACAATTTATCCTGCCGACAACGCCAATAAAGTGTGCGCGTGTTTAGGCTTTACAATTCAACAATTACACAGCGTATAACGCTATAAATGGCAATACTAAATCCTGCTAAAAACCCCGCGAAGTAACCGACGCCATTACCATAAACCAACTACCCAGAGTGCACTCGAACCCCGGGAAAAAACCCATCCATCCCGTACCGTAATTATCCGGATAATTAGTAAAACACTACAGTACTGTAAATGTCTCCGATCTTCAAAAACATATTTCCGAGATATTTTAACGTAAGTGAGCTTCTATAATTTGATTTTATTTGTTACTCTGCTGTGTTTCTTGTTATTCAGCAGTATTAGGCTATATAACAAATTGATTCAAACTCCGAAAGCTAAAAGTATTCGCAAATATAAAAGGGGTGTCCTTGGGTTGGAACCAAATAAATTCTTAAAAATTTAAATTTTAGATTTTGATTTGATTCCAAAATTTTTTCTTTAACTTGGGTTTGCAGGGGAAATTTTAAAAAAAAAAAAATTTTTTAAATTAAAAAAACCTTTCTAAAATTTAAAACCGGGGTAAAGACTCATTTTCTTTCGGGGAAAAGTCATTAAATATCGGTTATTTTATACTATAGTTTTCAGATAGAAGGAAGTTTTCAAAAAACAAATCCTGAAGTGTCTTTGAATTGTTTGTGTATTCTAGGCTTAATGAGGGGCCACAGTGTTGCATCTAGGCCGCCCAATTGCGCGATTTGCGCACATTTTTTGCAGATCGCGCATTTCAATGAAGTCAATGCGCGCATCTGACAATCTTCTTATTTCTTGAACTAGCGGCTTGAACGCTTCAGCCATGTTTGTTTTCACTCATGGTAATGACTAAAATACGTACTTAATCATGTGTAGCAGCCGACTTAGTCATCACGCGTGTGTACTGGGCAGGAACCAGTTTCCGGACAATACCAGTTTCCGGACAAGTATTATAACAGCTTAATTTTAGCTTTATCGATCACGATCGGTATTATACGTCATGAAGATGCTTGGTTTGATTGTTTGAGAAAATAAACTTCCTTCCAAGTTGATACATCATTAAAATTTTGAGAGGATATCTTACCTGTGTTTTAAAAACAGCCTTATATCCCTTTGGGGCATGTAATTTGTTCTGCGCATGCGCAATATTTTGTTTATTTCGGGATATAATTTGGGGTAGCAATTAATGCACAATGTACTTCATTCGAAGTTCATTGGGTGTAATCCCCCCAGAGCTAAATCTGTAACGTATCGGAAAATGGTGTTTAGCTAGGTTTACTCCACTTTCGCACTTCGTTGCTGCCGTACACACAAAAATATCCGTTTCACTTTTCAATCATTCCGAGACCCATCACGTGATCGTTATTTTTCCTATCATAAACATTTTTCAGTAAATCAGCTTAATTATATAAGAAAGCTAATATGTGAGAACAATTTTTTTGTTATATTAGACTAATTATCAGTTAAATAGCAGCTTAAAATATGTCTGGAAACTGGTTCTGCAAGAGTGAACAATTTACACTTTTGATGACCTAATTTAACCCTTCAGTTTGTACATTGCTTACGTCACCAGGCAGTATTAATTGTGTTATCGGTCGTAGTTAGAGCTCAGGTTATGTATGTTAGTTTTATTAATGCATGTTTATTATTAAAAAATAGACAATTAAAAAAACTCGAATTCTGTCCGAAAACTGGTTTCTGCCCAGTATTGTAGTATTTGTTAATATTTTATTTCCGTTCTTGACCTATAAATTTTGAATTCAGTAATTCACTGAATGATACTAAATATGAATATATGAATGCAAGTCGATTTTTGTGATGATACAATTTTGATGCACTGAGGCTAATGAGACCATTATATGCATCAGTGTCTTTCAATTCAGATTTTTATCTCTTCTTTTTTTTTGTCCTTTAAGATATCAAGTCAACTTGTCAGGTAGTGAACTATTTTTTTATTCTATGAATTTGAATTGATAAATTTATCAGAAAATTTCATCTTAGTATAAGTTAGGGACATACTGGTTGGAGAGATGACTCTGACACTAAATCACATATTTTTTGCAATATTTTCATTATCTTCCTGTATATTTTAGATATTTAACAACCTAAAAAAGTTCAGTTCAAAGAACTTTACATTACTCTTCACAAATTATTTATGAAAATAGAAACTGGTACTGCTTTGAGATCCTGAATGAGGTATAAAAAACATGGGTTTTTTACCCCACAACAGTAGATAAAGTTGACACTTAAATTTTTAAGTAGAAAAAGACTGGAAAATCAGCATCAATAATTTAATTTTACATCTAGTATGTTTTATATATTTTTTGTTGATATTTAAACAATTTTTCAAAAATCTTGTCCAAGTCAGTGGCCTTTGGTAAATACAATTCTAACTACATTATTGTTATTTAGTAAAAAGAACTTTTTGAAGCAGTTTTTGCCTATGAAAAGTTAAGTTATTTGAAAAACATTAAAAGTTTACCAACTTACAAAAAAAATCATCACATTCTGTCCTGCTCCTACACAGTATACTACTAGGTGACTATATATTATGCTTGTTTGTTGTAAAAAGTTATAACAATTATATTTATCAAGTGTCGGGTTTATGTATGTGTCAGAGTTATCTATCCGACCATTATGGGTTACTGGTACTAAAATAATTCCAAAATTGACACCTGACCCAGATTATACATTCGGTAGTTTGATTTTATTATGAAAATGTTTGGTAATTTTGTATATAATAAACTATTTTATGGTACACAGAAATATTTTTTGTACCTGGTAATACTGAAAGACCCATGGTTGTTTTTTTTTCGAAATATTTACTGAGATATTCTAATGAAAGCAAAAATATTTACAAGACAAGAAATAATTTATATGTTTTATGCAATTAATGACTGATTTTGCAGTATTTGTCTACAGTCATATTTCTACTACATTACACTTAGGGTTATATTTTTGCATATTCTTTGCTATTTTTTGTAATTTTCAAAGATTTTAAGTGCTGTTTATAATGTGTAAATTACTTTCTTTAATTACATGAAAATATTTTACTTTTTAATAGATTTTATTTCTTGAATGAAAATTAGCATGAATCTTGAGGCATGCTGCTTGAACATCTATATAAAAGTTGCCTTTGGATATTGATTGTTATTGATGTAAAAGAGAGATATTTGTGTCTGATTACCTTCAAATTGCTTTGCTTACTTTATATAACCTTTTTATGGTGTCTGAAGGCATAATTTTTAGTTCTCAGAAAAGCATTTCCAGGAATGTAAATTCATCTTTTGTCAGTACAATGTACCAACAAAATAAAGGGTGCAAATTACAGGAAGATTTGTCTTTTTTTTAAAAGCTTATTTTCACATAGATAGTCTGTGATATTACATTTATACTGCCATCTATTGTCTTTATTATCTTCATATTAATGGTGCATCAATGGTGCATCTATCCAGCTGACTTGTTAAATTATACCAACACTCACAGTGGGAGAAGTGTACCATTAGGGCCTCAAATTATTGTAACTGCATCTCTTTTAATCTAAATTAAGCTTTAAAAGATAATTATATTCTGCAGGGATTAAGTTTTCTTAGGCAAACCATGTTTAAAAGTAACCCAAGGAAAACCATTTTTGAAAGTAAGCAGTAAAATTTACATTATATGAACTGTCTGCTTATTGTTATTACATGCCATTTGTCCTCCAGTACAGGCCTTAACTCTATAGGAGAGCATGAGATTTATGATATTGGGGTGGCTGGTTAGATTTTTGGGCAAGGCAAAATCTCTTCCTGGCTATTCAGTGTATTGAGTCTAATAGTCATTTGTCTCATCACTGATTCAGAAATCCTGTGATATTAGTAGTTGGTCACTTAAAGAGAAATTGGTAATTATTGCTTAGTTATCAAGGAAAGCTGGCTAGGTGGACTGGCTGCTAAGATATGTGGACTTACCACCAAGATATGATCAGAAATGTGTTGTTGGGACGTACAAACCACTGAGAAACAGAAAATGAAAATGTAGAGAAATGGGTATATACCTTGCCATACCTGTCTTGCTCAATGCTTGTTTTGGAAACATTAACCATTTCCTTTGATAGTCTTTGCAGGACAACTAGCATGATATATTGTGTTAGACAGGTCTCAAACCCATGTACAGACTTATGCTTGAAATACTGACCTTGTATAATAATTTATTCCTCTAAAGTGGTATCTAAAAAATTTCTATACATCCATTATATTAGATATAAATAAAATAATCCACATCTCTCTACTTACAGTTAAAGATGCTTCAAGCCCCTGCTGCAGATAACAACAAAGCTCCAATACTTGATGTGTTATGTAAATATTTACCTCAAGATTTTCAGGGGGTATGTCTAGAGATAGCATCAGGTACTGGTCAACATGTCATTCATTTTGCTCAATATTTCAAGCAAGCCACATTTCAACCTAGTGATATTGATCAAGCTAATATAAAAAGGTAAGCAATTAAATATTTTTGTCATATTTATTTTCACTAATTCTTAGAAGCATTTAAAGCTTAAAATCAAAATGTTCATCAAAATTTGTGACGAAAGAAAAGGGCCAAAACTGTATTTTCAGCTGGATTAAGGTGCTCAAAACTGGAATTTTTATCAACTCAAAATTCAAGAATCCATATCAACCCTTAAAATGACCTGTCTTTTTATGATCTTTCAAAATTAAAAAAAAAGAGAGAAAAAAGATATATTTTCTTGCTATAACATTAAAATACAACTCAAATAAAGTAAGTTTTGCAAATAGATGGACAAGGTGCCATCATTGCCAGATTTATTTATTTCACCCATAAAGAAAACAGATCCTTTAGGCAGTTCAAATAATTCTGCTTTTACAGTAATGAGATTGCACTATAGTATACCAGTTATAATTATGAGATTTTTTTTTACTTGTATTTACAGTATATCAGCATATACAGCACATCATGGTCTATCTAATGTGAAACCACCTATAACCATAGACATCACAACTCCTGTTACCAGTTGGTCAGAGAAAATAAGCCCCGCCACCTGTGATGTCATATATAATGCTAACATGGTTCATATATCACCCTGGGAAACAGCTATAGTATGTTATTACAATTTGTGTCTTAAATCTTTTAAAAATGTTATAATTTAACACTCATACCAGTATTTCCCACAGTACATACATTTACAGCAGTTGTGTATCACCCTGGGAGACATCTATAGTATACTTTTTAGCTCACCTGAGCATGCTCAGGGTGAGCTTTTAGGATCGATGATTGTCCGTCGTCCGTCCGTCGTCCGTCCATTCACATTTTGTTGTTAACACTCCAGCGGTCGCATTTTTGCCTCAATCATCATCAAACTTTGTCAGGATGCTTATCTAGTTGATAGCTCGGATGAGTTCGAACATGGGTTATCTCGGATGAAAAATTAGGTCACAAGAGCTAAAAGTAGAAAAACCTTGTTAACACTCTAGAGGTCACATTTTTGCCTCAATCATCATCAAACTTGGTCAGGATGTTTGTCTAGGTGATAGCTCGGATGAGTTCGAACATGGGTCATCTCGGATGAAAAAGTAGGTCACCAGACCTAAAAATAGAAAAACCTTGTTAACACTCCAGCGGTCACATTTTTGCCTCAATCATCATCAAACTTGGTCAGGATGCTTAGCTAGTTGATAGCTAGGATGAGTTCGAACATGGGTCATCTCGGATGAAAAACTAGGTCACAAGAGCTAAAAATAGAAAAACCTTGTTAACACTCTAGAGGTCACATTTTTGCCTCAATCATCATCAAACTTGGTCAGGATGTTTGTCTAGGTGATAGCTTGCATGAGTTCGAACATGGGTCATCTCGGATGAAAAAGTAGGTCACCGGAGCTAAAAATAGAAAAACCTTGTTAACACTCCAGCGTTCACATTTTGGCATCAATCATCATCAAACTTTGTCAGGAAGCTTGTCTAGGTGATAGCTCGGATGAGTTCGAACATGGGTCATCTCTGATGAAAAAGTAGGTCACTGGAGCTAAAAATAGAAAAACCTTGTTAACACTCCAGCTGTCACATTTTTGCATCAATCATCATCAAACTTGGTCAGGATGCTTGTCTAGGTGATAGCTTGGATGAGTTCGAACATGGGTCATCTCTGATAAAAAAGTAGGTCACTGGAGCTAAAAATAGAAAAACTTTGTTAACACACTAGCGGTCACATTTTTGCCTCAATCATCATCAAACTTGGTCAGGATGCTTGTCTAGGTGATAGCTTGCATAAGTTCCAACATGGGTCATCTCAGATGAAAAACTAGGTCACCGGAGCTAAAAATAGAAAAACCTTGTTAACACTCCAGCGGTCACATTTTTGCCTCAATCATCATCAAACTTGGTCAGGATGCTTATCTATTTGATAGCTCGGATGAGTTCGAACATTTGTCATCTCGGATGAAAAACTAGGTCACAAGAGCTAAAAATAAAAAAGCCTTGTTAACACTCTAGCAGTCACAATTTTGCCTCAATCATCATCAAACTTGGTCAGGATGTTTGTCTAGTTGATAGCTTGGATCAGTTCGAATATTGGTCATCTCGGATGAAAAACTAGGTCACAGGAGCTAAAAATAGAAAAATCTTGTTAACACTCTAGTGGCTACTGTTTTGATCCAAATATCCTGTAAATTGGTCTGAAAGTTTGTTTTGATGATTTCTAAGTCAAGTTCGAACATAGGTCATCTTGGATGAAAAACTAGGTCACACCGCCCAAATATTGAAAAACCTTGTTAACATTCTAGTGGTCACATTTTCGGCTCAATTATCATCAAACTTGGTCAGGATGCTTGTCTAGGTAATTGCTCGGATGAGTTCGAAATCGCATGTGAAACTAGGTCACCGGAGCTAAAAATAGAAAAATCTTGTTAACACTCTAGTTGCTACTGTTTTGATCCAAGTATCCTGGAAATTGGTCTGAAAGTTTGTTTTGATGATTTCTAGGTCATGTTTGAATATGGGTCACCTGGGTAAAAAACTAGGTCACACTGCTCAAATATGGATAATCCTTGTTAACACTAGTGGTCACTTTTTTGACTCACCTGTCATGAGACTTGGTCAGAATGCTTGTCTAGGTAATTGTTTGGATGAGTTTGATGGGTCAGGTGAGCGATCTAGGGCCATCATGGCCCTCTTGTTTAAGTTGTCAAGTGACTGTTATATTTGTGTGTTTAATGATGCACATCTTTGTTAAATGAGTTATTAATCAGTGTATATATAAAAAAAAAAATTATATAATTATGTTATGGTATGTATTGTTGTCATGGTAAATCCACCCATTTAGCTCAATAGGGAGAGCATTGTATTTAAAGTAACCCAGGGATGGCTGGCTCAATCCTTTGACAAAGTGTAATTTCTCCATGACAAATAATTCTCGAAATTGGCTCTAATGGTCAATAAATGTCTCTCAACACCGATTCATAAATCATGTGGGGTAAGAAATTGGTCACTTGCGGAGGAATAAGTAATAACTGGTTTGTTATCTAGGAAAGCTAGTGTTGATAAACCATCAAGATATGACCAAAAATTGTGTAAAAATCAGCATAAAAGAACACCAGAAAAATAATGCAATCCAACAAACAAATTTTCATGTTAGGGATAGTAATGGTTGCACATTTAGCTGACTATCAGTTTAATGAATAATTTTAAATACAATATAAGATGCTGCATGCTCTTTAAATCCACAAAATTAATGATTTTGCTACTCTTTGTTTCCTTAAATTTTATTTTCAGGGTTTATTTGACACAGCAGGCATATTGTTGAAACCAAATGGATTTTTAATAACATATGGGGTAGGTTTGATAAATGTTTTCTTCATAGAGATTATTATCAAATGTTATTTTAAACATTTTAAAACTGCATAATGGCTGTCGGTTAAAATGTTTTTTTTCAAATAAAATTGAAAAAGTAATATTTGTAAATTTCCATTGAATCAAATGAAGTTAGTTTTAACAGTATTTTATCTATAAATGTTACATTTGCATAATTGAAAATGTACAATTAATTGTACAATTTGAGAAGAAAGCTTTGATTAGAATCTGTAACAAAAACTCATTGCAATTGAAGAGGAATTTTTGTAAGAGAATGTCCAATTGTGTTTACTTATAATTATATAAATCATTTAGAAATACTATTAATTAGAATATCAAAATAATTGCAATTTTATCTGAAATTATAAAGTTAAGTAAATTTTACCATTTTAGTAGGGCAATAAAGTGATAATTTGGTTGCTTTAGTTGACTGCTGTTGCAACAAGACCATCACTTTAGGCTTGTCCCACTGCACTTAAAACATAAAAGCAATACTGTCATAAAACATTGCATGTGAATATATTATAACATGTTAATAATAAATACTGTTAGTGTGACTGTTTTTAGCTGGTATATTGAAGAAGGTGGTAGTACCCAGATGCTTGCATATGCCTGAAATAAAACAAAATACGGCACATATCTACTTATATAACTAAAACAAACAAAATAACCCTAAAAACCCTCTTCTTTTGTTTTCTGTTAAAGGAAGCTATTCAGTTAGAAAAATCAGTGGTTCTACTAAAGTGCTAATGTACCAGAAACAGGGACATGTGAGGTCCTCAAGCACCAATATAAATAAAACCTGAAAAGTCATCCTTCATAATTGCTTTAGAAACAGTAGAAGTTAACTTACTTTTGTACCAAAGTGTCAATACTTATTAAAGTTGTACAACTAGATTTTGCTACAAATTATGTATTGGTTTTTACAACCTAGCATCACATTATTTTCACCTTATCTTAATTCCTCTAGGATATGTAATATTTATGTTATAATATTTGTTATTTTGTAAAATCCTTTTTTTTTATTTGAAAAATGTAATAGCCCTATGCAGAAGATGGTATATTGGAACCAGAAAGTAATATAAGATTTGACAAATCCCTAAAGGCAAGGTAAATGTGGTTGTTTTCCTTATTCTAATGGAAAACATGTTATACAGGCTATGTTTTAATGTCGACATGTATATGGAATTCCATTAAGAGGCATACATTTTAAATGGAGCTCTATTAAGATGTTTATTCAGTACTATCTAGTCCAAAGGCTAATATATTTAAAAGTGCATATTAATTATGTAACAAAACACTACTAGTAATTTGTACTCAGTTTTATGTTGTTTAGTACACAAGTACTGTTAGAGTCTAGATGTTATATGAAATAATGATTGCTCTGTGTGTTCTGAACTTTTGGTAAGACTTTGCTCCTGAAATCTATGGTACATGTATGAGTAAAATTTCCAGTGTCATGCATTCTATTTTGTCTTCTATTAATAGAAAATAAGACGTTTTCAAGAAAGACAAGAAACTGCAGTGTTATATTCTTACCTCCACACAAAGCAATTTTAACATTTTCTTTTTCTTCAAAATTTGTATTGAACTATTAACAGGATAAAAATATTTAATATTTTGAATATTTGAATCTACATGCATTCCAGCCTGTTTGTTGTAGAATAAAATTTTCTTATAAAAACTATCAAAATGTTTACTTTTAAATAAGTAAATCACATATTTTTTTTATTTTTTTCCAGAGACCCTTCCTGGGGTGTGAGAGATATAAAAGATTTAACAATTTTAGCAGATAAAAATGGAATAAAGCTGATAGATAAGGTAGGTAATTGTATATTTATCTACAGACTGAATAGATATGGATTTTACTAAGCTTTTTAGTACTTCGAGTATGTATGTTTTACCTGCTGTTTGAAGTTGCTACAGAAATAGAAGAGTTATATACATGTAACAAGAGTGTTACCTATCTGTTTCAGTTTCATCATCTATGTTAAAGTATTTTTTCCTGTTACAGTCCATACTACTTAAGTTACTGTCCTTATTACTTAAGTTACAGTCTCCATTACTTATCTTACAGTCCTTATTAATTAAGTTACAGTCCCTATTACTTATGCTACAATCCTTATTAATTATGTTACAGTCCATATTACTTATGTTACAGTTCCTATAATTACTTATGTTACAATCCCTATTACTTATGCTACTGCCCTTATCACTTATTTCACGGTCCCTATGACTTATGTTACAGTCCTCATTACTTATGTTACAGCTCCTATTACTTATGCTACAGTCCTTATAACTTATGTTACAGTCCTCATTACTTATGTTACAGTCCCTATTACTTACATCACAGTCCTTATTGCCTAAGGTACAATCCCTATTACTTATATTACAGTCCCTATTACTTATGCTACAGTCCTTATCACTTATGTTATAGTCCCTAGCTGTTACTTAGGTTTTGGTCCTTATTACTTATGTTACAATCTCTGTTACTTATCTTACAGTTCATATTACTGAAGTTACAGTCCCTATGACTTATGTTACAGTCCTCATTACTTATGTTACAGTCCTTATTACTTACATCACAGTCCTTATTGCTTAAGTTACAATCCCTATTACTTATATTACAGTCCCTATTACTTATGTTACAGTTCTTATTACTTAAGTTAGAGTTCTTATTACTTATGTTAAAGTCCACAGTCAGTATTACTTATGCTACAGTCATTTTTAGCTGGACTATTCGATAAGAATAAGTAGAGCTATTGTAGTACCCCGAGCGTCGGCGTCGGCGTAACCACTTATGTTAAAGTTTTTGTAATAGTTTAAATATTTTCAAAATCCATTGACATATGGCTTTGAAACTTTGCACACTTGTTCACCATCATTACCCCAACCTGTAAACAGGAGGAGGTAACTGTATCAAGCATTTTGACAGAATTATGCCCCTTTTTAGCTCGACTATTCGATAAGAATAAGTAGAGCTATTGCAGTCACCCGAGCGTCGGCGTCGGCGTAACCACTTATGTTAAAGTTTTTGTAATAGTTCAAATATTTTCAAAGTCCATTGACATATGGCTTTGAAACTTTGCACACTTGTTCACAATCATGACCCCAACCTGTAGACAGGAGGAGGTAACTCTATCAAGCATCTTGACAGAATTATGCCCCTTTTTCGACTTAGAATTTACGTTAAAGTTTTTGTAATAGTTCAAATATTTTCAAAGTCCATTGACATATGGCTTTGAAACTTTGCACACTTGTTCACCATCATGACCCCAACCTGTAGACAGGAGGAGGTAACTCTATCAAGCATTTTGACAGAATTATGCCCCTTTTTCGACTTAGAATTTACGTTAAAGTTTTTGTAATAGTTCAAATATTTTCAAAGTCCATTGACATATGGCTTTGAAACTTTGCACACTTGTTCACCATCATTACCCCAACCTGTAAACAGGAGGAGGTAACTGTATCAAGCATTTTTTTTACTATCAAGCACTAAGAATAGTCGAGCGTTGCTGTCCTACCGACAGCTCTTGTTCGACTTAGAATTTACGTTAAAGTTTTTGTAATAGTTCAAATATTTTCAAAGTCCATTGACATATGGCTTTGAAACTTTGCACACTTGTTCACCATCATTACCCCAACCTGTAAACAGGAGGAGGTAACTGTATCAAGCATTTTGACAGAATTATGCCCCTTTTTCGACTTAGAATTTACGTTAAAGTTTTTGTAATAGTTCAAATATTTTCAAAGTCCATTGACATATGGCTTTGAAACTTTGCACACTTGTTCACCATCATTACCCCAACCTGTAAACAGGAGGAGGTAACTGTATCAAGCATTTTGACAGAATTATGCCCCTTTTTTCGACTTAGAATTTATGTTAAAGTTTTTGTAATACCTCAAATATTTTCAAAGTCCATTGACATATGGCTTTGAAACTTTGCACACTTGTTCACCATCATTACCCCAACCTGTAAACAGGAGGAGGTAACTGTATCAAGCATTTTTTTTTACAATCAAGCACTAAGAATAGTCGAGCGTTGCTGTCCTACCGACAGCTCTTGTTATTGAAAGTGTAATTGTGGTTATCGTTTTGAATATTACATAGAGAACCATTACATGCATTAGGTATTTTACTCTCTATCATTGATTTATGCAGTGAAGTTGATATATATTATTTGGTAAAGAGCAGACTGGTATTGGAACATAGTCAAGTACTCAGACATATATAATATTATTTATGTTCAGTATAATAAAATTCATTGAATACTTGACTTAACATAGCACAACAAAAGGAACATGTCATTATTAAATGGTGAATACTTGCATGTTATCATTCAATTGTATATACTACTTAGTTTGGCTATTTATTAAAAGTATAATGGAGTAATCCAACAAAGTTCTGTGTCATTTAGCTGAATAGACATCACTAATGACTTGCAATCTTAATTGTAGGTCATTGTCTGTGACCCAAAATTGTTACATACTTTTATTATGCCCCCTTTAAAGAAGTGGGGGTATATTGCTTTGCATTTATTTGTCTGTTTGTCGAACTGTCAACCAAATGGTTTCCGATGAATAACTAAAGAACGCTTAGGCCTAGGGACTTCAAACATGGTAAAGGGGTTGTTCATGACCAGTAAATAACCCCTATTGTTGTTTTTTTTTTGGTCATATGATCAAACATCAGTCACCATAATCTGATCACATGACTAATTGGCTGTTGAAAGGGGCATACATGTACACGTTTTACAAACATATCTTGTTATAGAATTATCCCCATTTGTGAAATTTAAAAAAAAACGTCTGCCAGGATGATTTATTTTACAAATTCTGTAGTGAACTGTCCTGTGGTTGATTTTGTAAGGGTTTAAGACAGTGATTCTATATCTATATGAATTGCATCAACTTTATTTATGTTAAAGAATCAATCAGTCATATCTTTATTTCCTTATAGATACAGTTTTTACTCTTTTAGAAGTATTTATTTTTTATACTTAATTATTGAACCATTATTTGGAGCATTGCATTAGCAACGATATTTCTCTTTGGAATTAATTACTTTATTCCTGAAAGGTATGAATTGAATTTTGACAAATGAGAATAATTGTATGGTGAGGAATAATTTTCTTGTTCAAAATGTGTTTTAAATGTTTTAATTTTTTGTGTTCACTAATTTCAGATTGCAATGCCTGCAAACAACAAAACCTTGATATGGAAGAAAGTGTGATAATTGTGATAGCTGATGAAGTAAAAATCTAGATTTTGTAATTAAAGTGGTTGCCTGGACGAAAGCATTATTTTGTTGTAGGCAATTATCAGCAGAGACTAATGTAGAACCCCCTTTAATCAAAACTATGGATGTAAATTATTATGGCTTTAAAATATTTTGAAAACATTTTTTTAATTATTTTATCAGTATTTGTTATCTTCCTTTTATATGTTAGAATTAAGTTTGAATTTTTATAGAAGAGAATTTCCTTGTTGGTTAAATGCAAATCTTTGATAACAAATGAGCTTTTGTCACTTTAGCTACTATACTTGAGAAATAAAATCTTAAACTTTTACTTTCTTGTTTGTGATTTTGGATATTTAACAATGCATTATTCATAGGAAATATATTGGAAGCAATAGCCCTGCAATTGGATCAATGAACATGAAATTGTTTGTCTCTCATATCTGGATTATGTGCCCCATGTCCTAGTGGTTTCTCTTCCTTCCTCGTGCAATGAGAAATTGTTCATACTAAAGATGGATTTGAAGTAGATTGATTTATAACTTTCATCATGAAAGAGCTAACGTAAGATAATGATAGATAAGTTTTAGTTTAAATTAACATCTTTCTGTCTATAATGTGCATCATGCATCACTAATGAATGCTCACTTGAAAGTTATTTAAAATTGATTTAACACTGGCTAATGGATTATATTCTTTCGCTTGAAATATTACCTATGTATGTCAAAAGGAATGAAAGCTTCACTTTTACTTGCCAATTTTTTATTTAAATTGGAATTCAGAGGCATCAAGAACTCGATTTTCATCAAAGTTTGATCATTCTTTTAACTGATTACATATTAGGCCTAAATGTCAAATAAATTACAGAAAATGTAAAAATATGACCTTTTGTAAAGGTTGTTATCTAATATGAGCTGTATCTAATCAAGCATTTTAAATTAGGAGAGTTTATGTTTTTTCTACATGTAACATTACATTAACATATATAGTTGGTCATAGATTGTATAGATTGAAATTAACAATGACAATAGAATTTTATAAGTATTAAACATTTTACAACCTTGTTTATATTATTAGTTGTAAAAATTGTTTATATTATTAGTTATAAAGATTGTTGACCAGATAATATGGCCCTATAAAAACGACTGTTCCCCGTATATATATCCGAGTTGGGCTAGGGGAGGGTTTTTTACCAACCAGCCCGTGAATATAGGTCCATATAAGGTGAATATAGGTCCCTGTTAAACCCAATCTTTAATAACCGAATTTATAATGCAGCAAACTCATTTTTTGGAAAAAAGTAAGATTTCTTCAATATATCGACAACCATGTTTTATTAAAACTATAAAACTTTTCATTTGATATCCGATGAAAATCGATGTTAAAAACGTGGAGTATTATTATAATAGCAACAATTTTTGAATGAAAAATTACATACACAGTCCCATATTATAAGATGAATAGCATTAGTGCCTAAGGCAATAATGGAGTCGTCTATCTTCCCATTTTGTTCCCATAGTTTGGGAACCTTTCTGTTGAAAATGTGCCAGAGTTAAATCGTATACATATACATGCACAGTGCGTTAACTGGAGTGCAGGTATTAGTTACTCGCACTCCAGAGCATGCCCATTGATTGGTTTTATTTTTACTGGGGTTTTTACTTATTGTGACGGAAGAGAAAGGAACGCTATAGACAAATATCATATTCAGATGCTTGTTCATTGGCTACTTTTTTCTGGGGTTTCATATTGTGACCAAATAGGGAACGTGTTTTTTTATTTTGACAAGGATACAAAAAGAGAATGAGCATGAAAACACTCGTAAAATCAGATACCCTCGTGTTTCGATGCTCCTTCTAATTACTAAACATAAATGAATAGATTGGATTAATATTCAGAATTTTTAAAATGTGCTGTTAAAATGTAAAATTGTTCCTGAAAGTGGTTGTAAGTCATAGACTTTATAGGAAGCTGTGATCTATTTATAAAAATGTGACAATTGCTAATACTTGAAGGGAAAAATTGATATTTAAGCAATATTTCTCTTTGTGTTTTTTTTATCCTTTCAATATACTGTTTTCAATCTTCTTCTCAACATTTAAGAAGTGAAAAAGTTGAAAAAAAGAGTCCTGCATCTAATTTTGAAATTTTACTTATTATACCAAGTCATATAGTGTAACATCTAATGAAAGAGATTGTTTCTAATTCGAATGTGTTGGGAGCTATAAGCTTATTGCAACACTCCCAAAGAGCAACCAGTAATGAGTGTAAAGATTCTTGCTGGCTTGTCCCTGTATGAAGAGTTGAGACTTTTTAAAACATATATTGTTTTAAAATCTAAAAACGAATATAGAATTTTTTTAAATGGGTTTTATCATACATTAGAATTTAAGCTTGTTACGAATCCTAGAATATGTTACAGAAAGTTTTTAAAACTTGTAGAATACTTGTTAGTTGTGGAAGTTTGTTACTTAGACAAAAGTTGTAACTTTAGTATTTCAGTTTTAATTAGAAAGTCCAGAAAGATGGCCAGTAGGAAAGTAGTAAGGTCAGCAGAAAGTTTATGTAATAGGGTGAGATTAAAGCTTTAAGTCTGTAGCAAGTCACAGGAAGCAGTAGTTAAACTCAGATGGAAAGGAACGGATCAAAATTTTAAATAAGTTTTTCAGAGTTTAGAAGTTATCAGAAATATGAATGAATGTATGTGGAAAATGTTGATGGATTGAAATTATGGGACGTTCTTAGAACAATACAGTAATTACGTTTATTAAGAAAATCAGTTATTGCTTAAATTTTATTCAATAAAGACTCCCTGAAGGGTTGAAAACTTCAAGCTTGTTAAAAATATTTTTCATCACAGGCAGCCATCCTTTATCCACAGCAAAATCAAAAAGTTCAAATAAAGAGGTGTAAAAAGTTTGACTCATTTATATTTCACTTGAATATAATTTCATTGTCTAGGTTTTCAGGACCAAAGCCTTTTTTATTAAAATAAAAAATGATGAAAAAGCTGGAAAGCACAGATAATAAAAATACATTAACGCCAAAGATCTAGTGTGTAATCAAGGCTAATGAACTGAGCGGCTTTAATTCTCCTCATATTGGTGTTCAAAGCTTCAGCGTCTTTGAACTTCTTAAAAATAGCAGATTTGGATATAATGGGGGAAAAATATGAATTTGTATCAAACAGACCTGTGGCAACATGAAACAATCCATGGAGACATAAAATATGGCATTTCAATGTTTGGAAATTAAAAACATGAAGCATAATTTGCAAACGACTGACTAATCATTTGTAATTGCACTCTTTTGAGAGTACAACTATGCAAAGTGTAATGCTTGGTTTAATAAATGAAATTTAAATTTGACATATTTCTTTATAAAAACAATTAACGATGTTTATTAAACTCGACTATGTTTGGTTGATTTCAAGAAGAGTGCAAGTTTATATAAACAACACTGAGTACCTTTTCTAATCAATCATAGACTGACTGTTGTGTTATTTTCTACTCATTGCTACCAATCTCTACAAATTACATTTCCTTTAAAACACAAAAAATGTGAATTATCTTATTTTAGTGCCTATATGCTTTAGTACTATATAAGTTTGATCAAATAAACCCCGAGAACATTTTACATGTACGAGGATTGTTTTGAAAATGAATATGTCCAGAACGTTATAAGTTTTGCGAAAACAGATGTTTATTTATTTTGCATAATTATAGTCAATTACTGCTTTCAGGGCATTTTTTACAAATGAAGATCATGTTTAACTTACGTTTATTTTTAAACTTATATTCGGACCATCATTTACTTTTTTCTGTTACCGTACATTTTGATTTCTGTTGTAAGAGATTTCAGTTTGTTTCCTTCAACAGTTTTATGCTTATTTGAAATTCACATATGTGAAAAACGACAAAACATAAGTTAGATGAGTCGGGAAAACTATGTCGTTATTGAAAGTATAAGTCTACCAATTATTTGAAGCAGAATATGGACGAAATGTATTAATAAAAAGTAACCGAAATTGTAGAAGGTGATTAAAACTTTTCAAGACAATTTACTATTCTGAAGATCTAATGGCTAAAAGGAATAATATGGGTAAATGTGAAATAAATGATTGTCTTGTGTTTATGTTTATGGAACAAAGAATGAAATATCCTGAAACTTCTGATATACATTGATGATTTTACAAATTAAGTTACTTGAAGTAGTATATGTGGGAAGGTTTGTCTATCATGACATTTCACTTTGTTTTCTAGATCCATAAAAGAACAGAAATATACGTTGACATTGCAAATTTTTATTTACTTTTAATGTTTTGAAGTTCAGATCCTTTCTGGGAAATAATTTTACACTCAAGACGAAGATCTAAAGTAGTTTCTCACGCCTAAAATCTAATAAACTAAAAATAAAGAAATGATCGAAGAGTCTTTTTATCTGAAATAATGCTGAGGTTTTGTGTATCAATTTGATTTTAAAGTTCGAGACAAATGTAAATTACTATGGAAAGAATTGAGGCGATGTATTTTTCAGAACCACGACAACAGACAATTATTTAGTCAAAAATACATTACCATTTTGATACAAAATTAGTTTAGTGAGCAAATATAATGTTCAACCATCATTGGAAATTCTGCATTTAATTCTTATTTAACTTTCCTTACCGTTTTCATCTTGTTAGATAACAATTTCTGTAATTGAATTTAATTGAGAGATTCGTTATGATTAAACACACTGATAAATGAGCGATGTAGCTTAAACATGATTATTCTAGCTCGATTTTAGTAATGATACATGTTAAAGAGAACAAGTGTTTGTTTATTTATACCAGCTAATGGCAAACTGATAATTATATTTGTCTCAATGGAGCGCTTACCGTTTAGCTTAAGTAAATAAATGCTTTCCTGTCGTATATTCCATGCTAATTGATCGGGTTTTTTAAAAAGGAAATCACAATGTTTCACATGTCGATTTTACCAAATGTGACCCCTCAATGCAAGGTAGAAAAGTGTAATTGGGTAAAAACGTATTTAAAGGGTCAAGGTAAAACAGAAACTTTTTTAAATGGCAAATAATGTTTTTTTTAAGGTAAAGGAATTAAGTTGGGGTAAAAAAAAACCCTGATACTTTGGTGATAAATTGAAAAGAAAATATATTTAATAAACAGCATAAAGACTTGATTATATTAAAAACTTTCTGTACAGAATCATAATTTATTTATCTGACTCCCTACAGAGATTATAGCAGTGGATTGAAATAAGAACAAAAATAAAAATCTGGACCATTTCATGCATTTTATTGATAATAAAACGTTTTTAGATAATTTCT